TCAGCTTACCACACAAATATTCAGAACGTCTTTGTAGAGGTTTTAGAAAAGCCTGATATGTCCTTTCTGCTGACGAGCGACACAAACACAATCAGCTGCTGTGAACGATTCGTTTTCTATTTTTAAAATGGTATTTTTTTTAAGTCAGTACACTTCAAGCAAGGTGATAATGCTATTAAGATGCAAGGAGATTACTGTGAGCGAAAGAGAACGAGATTTTAGAAGTAATCGGAAACCCAATCCTAAACAGGGAGCAAATGATATACCTCTACCCTGTTCAAAAGACCGGGAGAGGAGTGTGAAACGGAGGATAGACGAATTGAGGAAAAATTCAATAAATAGTAAATAACATTTCAGAGTTTAGACGGAGCCGTTGGAAGTATAGTTCTGAAGTGAACTATAGAAAGACACTGAAATGCAATTCTAAACAGGAAAGAAGGCATAAACGATTATTATTCAAAATGCAGAGGAGAAGTGTGAACCGGAATATGTAAAACACACCCTCTTGTTTACCTAAGCACTATTTCTGCTATAGAAAATCAAACTACTAAAACATTTTATATCGGGAGTACCAAGAATTCCTTTAAAACTAGGTGGTACCAACATTTTTATTTTTCACCAATAACGCGTACAAAAGTAGGATGTCCCTTTTTAAATATTTTTGGAACTTAAAAGAAGTTAATATGGAAAATATATGAAAAAAATAGTACTTTTAAACATTTAAATGAACCTTTTATCTTATGTTTACATGAAAAATTATAAGTAATCAAATTTGCTGATAAAAAATCACTGTTAACACAAAGGAACGAATTAACACTAAAGTGCTGACACAGTTTATCTCTTACCTTAAAATAGAGTTAAAATTTTTTTAAAAATGCGTATTACTCTTTCTTATAGCCGTAATTTATTAGTATATAACAGTCCACCTTATTTTTTTATTCAGCTTAAATAATGATATGCATTGCCGTCCAGTTATTATTATTAATATCGTATATAGATATTCCACATATTTAATTTTATCTACAAGTCCCTTTAAGAAGCTTCCTTAATATATATATATATATATATAAATTCTGTTAATTTTACGTCTGATTAACCCACCCCTCCCTTCAACAAATTGAACATGTCATATTTCTAAAATCACGATACATTTGTCACTGGCATGTTTTCGTCAATGATGATATGTCTATGTTCTGGTTTATCATGCCATGAAAACCCCCACCCACTTCTACCCTCTGACCTTAGTTTACCATTTAGTGTAGATGTGACCTTAATTGGTGAATCAAGGCATATCCATAAATTTATTTTTAATTCTGACCTTATGTCCCCCCCACTTTCAATTTTCGGAAAAGAGGTAAAACTTTGTTTTTAAATTTTTTTAGAAATCATTTAATCATCACTTATTGCACCTTAAGGATTTTATTAAGGATTTTTCAGATTTCGTGTTATGATTTCCCTTTAGGGTATAAATCTTTAAATATTTTTTCTTCCCTTGTTATGGGTATCTAACGGGACAAACTGTGTCTTACAGCCTAAGGTTGGCAACTAGTCCAGGAGAAGGAAAATGATGTATCAAAAAACAGAGTAGGGACGTTTGTAGACCTTGTAAGCACAATGCATGTACCTTTTGTGCACTCAAATGAGGCTATTGTGGACTCTTCCACTTACTATAAAGTAGCAGGAAAGTAAGCCTCGGGGGGAACACTGATATAGACTCTTCTACCGGGGCATGTGACTGTTCTTAGCTTCTGTCGAACTCTTAGCCTTTGGCAGAGAGGAACCCGAACGAGGCTTTGCCGAGGGGGAGAGTTTCGTCTGGGTATGTAGACAGACCAGAACCCGTTTATGCGGGTTCTACGGGGGTTTGGGGGCCGAGCCTATGGGCTCGGATGACCCACGTTAAAATCGGCCTTGTGCCATATGTGCCCTAGGGTGTGGGAGGGATCACTGAATATAACTGTTATAGACTGAACGTTGGTCAACCGACACACATTCCCAAGTCGGATAACAGACTTCTGTTGTATATGCTGTTCAATACACTATTTATCTGCAACCTCTTGTTTTTTTTTATTCCTTAACTAATTATTTGGTCACAACAGTACCAGGTCTGTGTTTTTGAAGCTTCCCAAAAAGCGTGGTTGTTTCTAAAAAAAAGTTTTCACCACTCTACTCAAATCATATGTACGTATAATCTGGATGTTTTGGTTTTAAAAACTAAACTACTGTACCATCGTCGAAAATATCAGGAGTATATATATATATATATATATATATATATATATATGTATGTGTGTGTGTGTGTGTGTATAAATTTATTTGTTTAAACTTCGTTCTTAATGGATACACATGTTTGAAATATTGTAAGAAAAATATGCGTATATATTTTTAACTAGATTTCTCGATTATTCAGGACGGCAGATGAAAATAAATAAATATACGGTTGAATATTAAAACAGAACATCTATTCAAATATGAGTATCCATTACGAATAACTTTTAAGCAAATAAATTAAAAATATATCTGATTTAATCCAATACACACACACACACACACACACACACACACACACACACATATATATATATATATATATATATATATATATCGAAACCGAGAGGACAGCCACGATATATATATATATTTATATATATAAAGAAATATAGTCTTAAGGAGTGCTATATTTATGGGATAAAGTGCTCAATATCAGAGATAGAGCGTGTGAATATAAAAAGTGAACATGAAGTCAACATGCGGCGACAGTCTGCCATATGCGTGGCCTGATATATATGAAACAGACTGTCGCCTCTACGATTGACTTATGTTCATTTTATATATATATATATATATATATATATATATATATATATATATATATATATATGCAATTATTATACATATACATATGCAAATATTATATATATGCAAGTATTATATATATGCAATTTTTATATATATTATTTATATATTATATATGCGCGGTACTTACTGGAAAGCGCTCAATATCAGTGAACACATATTTAGTTGGATTGATGTCAGTTTGTGATCCTGGGTTTCACGCTATTTTTGATCACTGACGAAGGACACAAACTCACATCACTCTAACTAAACACACACACACACACACACACACACATACAAACACACACACACACATACAAACACACACACACACACAAACACACACACACACATATATATATATATATATATATATATATATATATATATATATATATAAAGTTCAAACTGGGGTCAACACCGAATGGCGACATTCACTTTCTTGCTTGTAAGCCCTGGGTGGAGCATTTTACTCAAGCATGGAACCGACTATCGGTATTCGGTGTTGATCTCGGTGTCCACTCATATATTAGCACACTTGCATTGATATCTAACACTTTTATTCATAAATATAAATTACTTACAACTATGTTATGGCGAAAGTGCGGATAATTTTGTACTTACATCTTCTATGTATACTAAGCATCCGTTTATCTCGCGAGATAAAGGAAACACCCTGTTTAGTCAAGATTCAGTCTTTGGTGGCGAGACTAGAGTGACCACTCCCAATGACTGGGCTGGCCGATGTCATATGGAGGCTGTCTGCTGCTTAGACGACATGGACACACTTTCGGCCGTATCAAGAAAATCAAAAAGAATACAGGGCATTAATTTATGGAGCAGCTTAGCTCCCCATCCAGATATGAACGCAAGGCAGCGATGGCTTAAGATCTGTGCTTTTTCCTCTAAATGGACTGCATTCACGAGTATAGATATGTTGGTTCTATCTATCTATCTATCTATCTATCTATCTATCTATCTATCTGATATAATGGAATATGCATACACCTGTGTTCCCCCTGACTGGAATATGATTGGCTGGTGTCCGTCATAAATACCGACGGACGTGTAGGAGTGTCAGAGCCTTAGTCTGAGAGCTAAGTCTATAACGACGCCCACTGGACTACGCCATTGATCTACACTTCTTACCTGCGACTACGACACATACTAGTCGATTACTGCTACGGTATTCTACTTGGTTATAGTAGCCAAAACAACTTAGCTACTTCGTTCAAATATATCCCTTTCCGGGATATATCACTATCTATCTATCAATATGTGTATCTATCTGTATGTGTGAATCTATCTATCTATCTATCTATCTATCTATCTATCTATCTATCTATCTATCTATCTGTGTGTGTATATGCAAAAGTTTATATATGATGATAGCATGATCTTAAATTTACGTAAGTATCTCTACGCCAGGAAGACACGGCCAAATCATACGTAAAAACAGCATTTCCCTTTCGGATCACCAAAGTTAAGTTGCATCGAGCTCGAGCTTAGGAACACCGACTACTATAAGAATTTCGGATTTCAGTGAGTGATGAAACGTAAAAAATCAATCAATCAGACAGACACTCGCGCTCATGATAAAAATAGGCCCGCCCTTCCACACACTCATACGCATATAGACTACTATTTTTCCATAAATAATGTACATCTTAAACAATATATATATATATATATATATATTGTTGAAACTTGGATAAGCTTGGAATAATAATAATACAACACAAAATGTACGTAAACAAAATGTATTGAAACAAGGAAAAGGTACACAATATTTACAGTTAGTTTTGGTATATTCTTGGGAAGACCATTCCTGTAGAATGGGTTGACTGAATCGCAGTCGGGCAGAGTCTCTGGATTGGATCTCTTCTTACTTCCTCAATCGTCTTCCCCGGTACCAACCCATATTTATATGGTCGGTACTCCACTATGTAAATTAGGTGGATCGTACCACAACAGATATATATATATATATATATATATATATATATATATATATATATATATATATATATATTTCCAAGAGGATAAAGTCGAAGTAGATCTCTATGTACATGACAGAGCAATAATATAATATAAAAGGCTCAAACACTAATATTCCATGGTTATAATTTATTACATTGGACTCGTAATCACGATCCAATTCATCAGACCTACAAATTCAAAAAGGAAACAGGAAACAGATTTTCAGTGAGAGTATATGCGTGAGAGTGAGACACAAGGGTGAGAGGGAAATTTTTGAAAGCTATAGAGAGAGGTGTAATGGAATAACAACAACAACAACAACAACAGGAAAAGCCTTTAGGGGAGTGTGTGAAATAAAATTTTAAAGAGAGAAGATAAATATCGGTTTAACTGATTGTGATATAGATAAATATGAGTTATTATCAGATATATAAATCTACTACAGATTCGTTGACCTAAATTTTAAAAAAAAAACAGACACCGGAAAAGTGTGCATACATTTGTGGTGACATTAGACGCAATAAATGATTATACGATCCAAATTTAAAATCTAGCCGATTTACACTGTCAATGTATATATGAAAATTTGTTATATTTTCTGTTTTCTTTTTGTAGGTCTGATAAATTGTATCGTGTTTACACAATAAATTATAACCACGGGATATTAGTGTTTTAGCTATATATATATATATATATATATATATATATATATATATATATATATATATATATATATTTAATACCTATCTATCCTACTCTCTTCATATCTATCTATCTATCTATCTGTTTATATACATACTGTTGTGGTAGGATCCACCTAATTTGCCTAGTGGAGTACCGACCATATAAATATGGTTGGTACCGGGAAGGGAGGGAGGAATCAAGAGATTCAATCCAGAGACTCTGCCCGACTGCGACTCAGTCAACACATTCTCCAGGAACGGTCTTCCCAGGAATATACAAAAGACTATATGTAAATATTGTGTACACTTTCTTGTTTCAATACATTTTGTTCTAAGTACATTTTGTGTTGCATTATTATTCCATGCATTAGTCAAGTTTCAACACATACATACATACATACATATGTGAAAAAGTGTATATAAATATAAATAAATATATATATGTATAATTATTTATAAGTTATATGCGCGGTAATTATTAGAAAGCGCTCAATATCAGAGATAGAGCTAACATCTATCCAACTATTTATATATATATATATATATATATATATATATATATATATATATATATATATATATATATAGGTAACTACACTCGTCTCGAAAACCTTCGGTTTCTTGATTTGCTAATGATCAAATCAATTTCGAAGGAAAAAGGTTTTAAAAAAGAAAGAGCCAGGAACATGTAAGTCTGTCGAAAATGATTGTAGAGCTTTCCCTGATGATCCGCTTAGGTGAAACCTGGGTAGGTTCGTCTGGCTCTCTAGGTTTGACTATATATATATATATATATATATATATATATATATATATGCAGACACAAACGTATATGTAAGGAGAGAGAGATAAGCCGATAGAAGGAAGAAATAAAAAAGATAGATATTGAGCGGACTGCGATAGACAGAGAGACAGACACATAGATAGATAGACAGATATAGGTTGGGATAGATAGATAGATAGATAGATAGATAGATAGATAGCACTGTATAACGTTGTCTGATATGATTCTTCAATCTGGTAGTTTCATAAGTTTGGCGATTTCTGTTAAATGAGGTATTTCTTGTTAGTATGAACAGACCCACGAGGTTAAGCCAGGATAAACTTCCTCCCGCGATAAAACCTGCAACTACCATCCCCCTCACCGAACACGTAGATTTTTTATTTATTTATTTTTTTTTTAAATCTTTCTTAACCTGAGTTGACCTTAAAACTTTTTAGTGGCAAGCGATTATTGATAAAAAAAAAAAAAAAAAATCGACTTTTGCAACCATGGTATAAAATAATTCCTCCTGCTCGTGACAACCTGACAAAAGCCCCCAACATATAACCGGCACCCCCACCATACGTGCACAGAGACACACACACACACACACGCGCACATATAACAAATCTGGAACCCAAAGCGGAAGAAGAAAAAGAAAGAATAAAATTCAAAGAATAGAGAAAAATAAATAAAAAAATAAAATGCAAAATTAAAACAGCTACCTGGAAGACGAAAATATAAAACTAAAAAATAGAGAGGAAGTCTTCATATATATATATATATATATATATATATATATATATATATATATATATATGTGTATGTGTGTGTATATAAGTTTGTGTGTATAAATTTATATATATATAATTATGTATGTGCGCGTGCGTGTTTATATTAAATACATATCTGAAATATATTTGAATATATATATATATATATATATATATATATATATATATATATATATATATATATATATATATATATATATAGTAAAAGAAGCAGTTAAAACAAATTTTTCTCCCTAGAAAAAATGGAAGGTATATAAGTGTGTGTGCGTATGCGTGTTTATATCATATATATATATATATATATATATATATATATATATATATATATATCTGATATACATATATACATATGTATCTGAATATATATATATATATATGTTTGAAATACATACATATATGTATCTGAATATATATATGCAAGTATATATATATATACATATATATATATATATATATATATATATATCAAGCCAGCTGTTAAAATAAATTATTGTCCCCAGAAAAAAAAAAAAGAAGGAAGAAAATAGGTATATATATATATATATGCATGTGTTTATATCTCATATATATATATATATATATATGTGTGTGTGTGTGTGTGTGTGTGTATAAAGCTAAGAGCTGCAGTTACAATAAATTATTCTCTTCAGAAAAAATAGATTGAAGAAATAAAGAAGGGATGGAGAAAAAAATCAGGAATCGAAGTTGTACAATTTTTTTTTTCCATTCTAAGTGGTATTGAAAAGTTGGCGACAATGGGGAAATGCTAAAAGAGAAGGTTTTATGCTCTTTGCTGAAGGATGTGAGTCTTTCTTTTAAGACCCCTACACGTAGCTTAACATGACACAAGGAGTTAGTAGTTAAAAAAAAAAAAAAAAAAAAGAAAAAGAAAACTCCCCCTCCAACACCTATTTTAGCAAGGGTCAGCCGGATTACTCCACAGGAAGCCGAGCATAAATATTGAACCAAGTTCGCTTTGTCTAAACCAAGGCCGTGTGAAGTCCAAAATGAAAGTCGTGCCTTCTGTTTCTTATTGTACCCTGTAACTTCTGACGCTTTAACTTTCCTCTCTGTCTTTGTTCCTTCATCCATTGATGCAATCCCACCCTGATTGTTACTCTCCGTTTCCTCGTGTATTTCCTTCAATATGGCATGTGAGTTTTAAATTCTCCAAGTATTCTTTCCTCGTTATGTGTCTCGATTTTTAACTATCTTTTTTTTCTGATTCCAAGTTAAAGTTTCCTTATCGTTTTTGTTCTTCTTGAAACTTTCTTCTTGCTCACATGCTCTTGTAGTGACTACTCCGATTTACCACGCCCACAAAATACTCATTTATAATTGGATAGAAAATAAATACTGTTTACTACAAGACAATTTACCTATCGCAGTAACCACACAAAATTTTCTGCCATGACTTTGCCGAACTTGGTTTTGTAAAAAAAAAAAATCAGTGATTGGTCAATTTTTATCCAATCATGTATTTTAGATATTCCTTTCGATATTTTCCCCGCTTCTCTCTTGAGCCTTCCCCAAAAAGTATTTAAACAGTTCGTACTCCAGGAATAAGTTAGTAGAACAATAAATCAGCAGAACTCGGCAATGCACGCGTATCTACATTCTTCTACCCACGTACACACAGACACAGAACTACCATTACACTACACTTGTTAACCGTCTGTCACAAGCCAAGTCATAAACCAAATTCTATTATCCTTTTTGTACAAACTTTTCATTCTTGAATTCAAATCTTATTCACTGAACCCTGAACATTTCAACAAGAAAATTCTTCAGTACATTATTCCTATCTTGCATCAGATATCCGTACAAGGGAAGCTACTTTTCTCTCCCTAAATTATTAATATTTAGGGAGAGAAAAGTAAGCACAATTGTTGTACTCGTTGATTTTCCATATATATTTTATTGTTGAATGCAATTTGATTTCTTGTTCTTCTTTCCTTGTGTTCTTTGCAAATTTAAATGTATGTGCTCTCGGTAAAAACGCAGCCTCACTAACAACCTCATTAACAATTTTAAAACAAATCTGAGCAGGACACCACACTTTGTCTATGATATTCTTCGCAATTCATGCTTAGATCAAAATCCTTTGCAGATCTTAATAACGTTTTGTATTTCTTTTTCCATCTCTCCTAGGCCTCGAGAGTGAGCCAACCAAAATGAGCTGACTCATTTTATAGTTCACTAATAGAAGGGTTAACCAATCAGAAAGCTCAAAATATTCAATCCGACGTGTATAAAGGCAGCCATTTTGTTTTTTCTCCCAAAATATCTTCACTGCCAACTTCTGATATCGAAGACATAAAGAATTACTTAACAGCCGCTACTTTCTCCGAATCTTCACTGCCAACCTCTGATATTGAACACATGTACTTCACTGGATTCTATATTCAAAGACTACGGCAAACATGGTCAACAGGTCTTGTGTCGTCCAACACTGCAAATTGTGACCAAAACCAAAACATTAGCCTAAGAACTCGAGTCATATTCTTAAATAGCCTCGTCGGATTGATCCTTTCATATGACATATCTAAACTCTCAGTTGTATATAAACGTTTTCTCATATCACTGGTTAAAAAAAAGTCTTCGAAAGTATGTAGATCTTATCGAAGATCATCCTTTTTGCAAACCTCGGGGATTGGCACTACAAAATCACAGACGTAGAACTGTTCCAAATAATCCAGTCATTTTAACATTCGATATTCGCCGTGTGTGTCAAATTCTTCAAAACCAACCTTTTTCATGATGTGCCCAAGAAATTTAAACTAATATATTTTCTGATTCTGAGTATAGGTATTTGATGCGATCACGGCACCAGTCTATATATATATATGTATGTATGTGTATATATATATATATATATGAAGAAAAATATATACGGAAAAAACAAAATAAAAATCCTTATATACAATTATGCTGTTTTAATGTTAATATGTCAACGTCTGACGTTTCAATATTCAAGAAAGACATTCGTATTACTAACACAAAAAAGAGATTGTCTCATATCGAGAATATTTAACATCGAAAAACATAAAGGAGAAAAAAATTAATTATTTTTAATTATATGTGGAAATCTCCACCCTTTACCTGAAGACGGCCGAGAGACCAGAAACTGGTGTAGTAAAATTATGGAAAATAAAGCAAAATATTTTTAAAAAAATCCACATTACAACCAAAAACATTTGCGGTATCTCTCTTCTTTTTAATATACACACTTTTCTCTTGTTGGATCTACTGTAACCACTTTATATATATATATATATATATATATATATATATATATATATATATATATATATATATAGTTGTATATTTAGGCAGAAATCCTTCCTTCCTTTATGCATGTTTCATTAAAAACGACAGACAAGGTACTATGGTTGAGCTTTTTATTTAATTTTTCTTGTCTTCTGACAAGAGCTTTCTTTTCTGGACAAAGGGTGTGTAAGAACTGTACGAATGTTTTGTATTTCCGAGCGTTCATAGTCAACGTTACACCTATCTGATCACAGCTCCATCAGAACACATTTAAACACACACTCAGATTTACCCGACACTATTAGGAACATACTAGTAGAAAACACAAATATATTAACTGCATCCACTTGCAAAAAAAGACTAAAAATAATGGAAGCTCTAATAATAAAAAGAAAAAGCCAACTCTTAACAATATTAACTATGAACAAAGCCATAATGTGCTAACCGTATTCGGAAATTAAAAACATTACTACCACACACTGAACATACACAGAATGCACACACTCTACTAAGCTGATAATCGAATCATCCTTGATAATGGCTAAAGTTATAGCCGAAAGCGCTCGGAAATACAAAACATTCGGACAGTTCTTACACACTCTTTGTCCAGAAAAGAAAGCTCTTGTCAGAACACAAGAAAAATTAAATAAAAAGCTCAACCTTAGTACCTTGTCTGTCGTTTTTAATGAAACATGCATATATATATATATATCTATATATATATATATATACATATATATATATATAAAAGCAGCAGTTAAAATACATTTTTCTCCTAGAAAATGAAGAGTATATATGTGTGTGTATGCGTTTTTATATCATATATATATATATATATATATATATATATATATATATATATATATATATATATATAAGCAAATATATGGATATAGATCCGACAGTATGAAGAAAAATATATACGGAAAAAAAAAAAAAAAATTCCTTATATACAATTATGCTGTTTTAATGTTAATATGTCAACGTCTGACGTTTCAGTTATTTGTTTGGATAAGTCTTGTTCTAATGTACATCGTCTTTGTCATGTTGTATTGATAATGTTATAATTTATGAATATGTCCTGAAGATGGTTTATTAGACCGAAACGTCCGACGTTGACATATTAACATTAAAACAGTATGAATTGTATATAAGATTGATTTTGTTTGTTTTTTCCGTATATATTTTTTTCATATATATATATATATATATATATATATATATATATATATATATATATATATATGAAATACATATATATATGTGTATCTGAATACATATATATTTGCGAATTCTAGCGGTGTACTAGACTGGCGTCGAGATCTCATCCGTTTACAGTTGAGTTGGCTAGATGCAACTGTGTCGTCTATGGTAACGTTTTCTTTTCTCGCTCGTCGAACTCTCTTCCGGCTCCATGCTTTCCAGCCAACGTTAATTTGCAAAAAATATAACTGCAATGTCAGTCGCGATCTAGCAGAACTCCTGATTACTTATTCTTCTTCCCGCACATTATTACCACTTTCGCCAGCGCAGACGTGTATATACGTCTCTCACGAAAAGTGCCTTTTTCAGAAACAGACGAATAAACACGTCCGAACATAACGTTCAAAATCGAAATAGAGACGTGTTTATACGTCGACCTTGAAACGAATCCAATTATGAATTCATACGTTTGGTAGAAATGTTAGTCACCGCTTGGATACTTGCATCAGTTTCTTAGTAACTATATTAAAGACAAATGAAAAAATCGGCTGAAATTAAAACGTTTTTCCCCAAATAATTGGCGGAGTAGGGGTTAATGTTTCTGTTCTTATTTCTTCCAAACCCTGTAACCCTTGTGTCTTAGTGTCTTTATTCCCTTGCATGGAGCGATACAAGGACTTTTTTTCTTTCCATTTTCTTTAGGAATTCATCGTTTGCTTAATCGTTCCGACTATTGTATTCTCAGCATCCTTCTGTAGAGTGACACTTCTGTTGCCTGAAGTCTCTTCTTCTTCTGTGAGGAGATTGCCCAGCATTCACTGCTATATAGGAGATTGGATATATCGTAGTTGAATACCCGCTTCTGCAAACCTCGGGGATTGGCACTACACAAACAGAAACATTGAAATCTTCCAAATAACAGAAACCGAATTACTTGAGGACTTTCAACAACTCAGATGTTTAACCCCTCTAACTCGAAGAGAAAAAAATAATGACATAATGTTGACATTTCACACAAGTTCAAACAAAAGGCAAGGGATGAAGCCCCTCCTCCACGCTATCAATATTTGAAAGCAGATATATGGACCTTAGAAATCCATTTTAAATAACAAATGCCGAATGTTTTCTTACAAAGAAACATCTAATATTATCATAACTTCATCTGTCTATAATTTTGAGACGAGGTATTTTAACTATTTACACGATTTATATGGTTCATGCTGTTGTCCTCATCCTTATTGTCATATTGACGACTTCTCGGCCGTTGTATGCTCCGGCCTTCATCAGGTCATATACGTTGTAAATTCGAAATACACTCTTTATTTCGTCCACTGGGGCAGATTGTCCTAACTCCAACGTGCCATGCCTTTTGTGGATATCTCAGTTTTAGTTATTTCCCTTGAGTAATATATATATATATTTAGATTGGTGCAAAATATTGACGTAATAATGTCGTTTTTTGACGTATTTTTAACGTCAAAAACGACATTCTTACGTCATTATTTTTTACACCAACCTAATATATATATATATATATATATATATATATATATATATATATATATATATATATATATATATATATAACGGCCATATTTGTAAGGGTGAGGTCAATTGAGGTCAACACCGAGTGGCAACAGTCTGTTTCATGTCATGTATGCATGTAATCTTCATGGATTGAAGATTGCGTTCAAGTATCAAGGGCATGAAAGCACAGTCGCCCGTGCTATTTAACCCACGGCTAGAAGATGGTTTCATGCCTTTTCCAAGGGTATTAATGCGAAGCGTATGTAAAGTACTTGATCAGAAGTACATTATTATTATCATTATTATTCATACGCGTATTATTGTCCTCACCTTTGTATTATTACGTTTCGGTCGCAGTGTTCTCCGACCATCACCAGATGCTTGTCGATCCGGGTAACTTGCAAATAATTTCAAATTGAACTTCTTATTTAATCTACAAGCATAAATTTATTCAGGTATTATTATTATTATTAGTAGTAGTAGTAGTATTAGTATTATTAGTTCTCCCTTTGATTTCTGTTGTATACAGGTTTCCTTCTGGATGCCAACCTGAGACCTAAGGTCAGAAATAGTTTCATGACATTTTCCACTGATCATTCTTGTAAAAAATAAAATAAAACTAAGATCCCACACATTTTACATAGAGAAAGCTCTTCGTAAAGTGTGAACTGTACTTGTGAGTACAACCATTTATATTTCTTTAAGGCATGGGCTACCAGGAATCTCTCCAAAGGGTCTATTGGAACATTTCCCAATCAATCCGAGAACTCCAACTCCAACTGGAATTATTGATGTCCTCATGTGCGACACTTTTTAGATTTCCAATTCACCATCCTTGTACAGGGTGTTATGAATAAATTCCCTTCTAAATTACGCCAAAATGAAAATAACACTGACATCACATTTTAACAGATATATTTACCAGAACTATACAGAAATATCTTGAAAAAAAATTTATTCAATAAAATCGCCATTGAACATTGAACAAGACGTCTGGAGGTCGTGGAAGAATCACAGCCAGCAGACGACTTCGGAATCTCCTGCAAGTTTTCTAGACGGTCTCCTTGTATAAATTGGTGAAAGCTGCCATAATCCTCACCGTCAGTTCATCTTTGTTATTACAACGAGTTTTGTTGATATCTCGCTCAACTGTGACCCACACATAATAATCAAGGGGTTGCTGTCTGGGGAGTTAGGTGGCCTGTTGTAAGGGGAGATGTGGTCACAGAAATTGTTTGACAGACATGACTGGGTACTCCTGCTTGTGTGGCATGATGCAGAGTCCTGTCGCCAGACATAGTTTCTTCCACCAGCCATGTTCTTGACACAGGGCAGCGCTACCTCATCAAGGCACTTTATGTAGGCCTCTGTATTGAGTCTGGGACCCTGTGGGAAGATGAATCGAGTATAACGTCTCCAAACACGATGATATTGACGGGATATATCTTTCCGTATCCCCAGGACTGTCCTCAGATTGACGTCCAAACATTCTGAAATGTTCGTATTGGAGCTTCCTGACAAGAGTATAGTGCGCTTTTTTTTTTACAATTTCTGGTGGAGCGAATTGCGTCATGGTGTTTTTTTTTTTTTAAAGACGCTACCCGGCTGACTCTACTATGCTATGTAGTCGACAAAATATAACGAAACAAAAAAATGCGCATGCGCGAAATTAAAAATATAAAATGGCGACAATGTACCCATCGCATGTATTTTGATAGATTTTGAAGATCTTCAAAGATACATTACAATCTACAAGGAAAGCCATGTTAATAAGAAAGCACGTTCTATTTCTGTGGTCATTAGTTTTGTTCTGTCTGTCTGTATGTAACGTCACGTTCCTGCCTCTGTAACCGGGTCTTGGTGATATTCACACAAGTTTCTTGCAGTTTTCTTTTCCGTAAAAGTTGCATATTTTTTCGTGTAGATATTGGCCCACTCTGTTATGCCAAGTTTTATATTCAGTGAGTGCTAAATATTTCTGGACATTTATCATATCAGCATTTCGGGTTGACACTGTTTTTCATTATTATTATTATTATTATTATTATTATTATTATTATTATTATAATAAACGTATTTCTATCTTCACACCATTTCTGTCTAGTGGCTGTCAATGGGGATAGTGTGAGGGCGAGAAATCTAAAATCTTTCCTACTCTTTTAATATTATTTATTATTTAATAGACATGAGCAGACAGAGATAATGTATATTTAAGATATGTGTGTAGAGCGATTATCACTAATGTAGCCAAATGCATAGGGACATATATCAAATGTATGGAGCCATCTCTCATCTTAAGCGAGAAAACGAATCGTTCACAGCCGATGATTGTGTTTGTGTCGCTCGTCAGCAGAAAGGACATATCAGGCTTTTCTAAAACCTCTACAAAGACGTTCTGAATATTTGTGTGTTAAGCTGAACACGATCAGCAGGAAACCTGATCTCCATTATACTCGGATTTTTCAACTGCCTTCGGCAATTTCTCGATCGAGAATTCATCTTAAAATTTGATTGGAAGATGAAGAATCGCTGTAGTAATTTTAAAAGATTGACCTTAAGGAGTTTATTGAATAGAAGAAGAAGAAGAAGAAGAAGAAGAAGAAGAAGAAGAAGAAGAAGAAAAAAAAAGAAAAGAAATGAGTTTGGTAGGAGGCTATAAAAAAAGTCAAGTTAGCGAAAGGAAGAGATGAAAGGATTAGGAGCGAAAGAATAAACCAATAAGAAAGAAAGTGGAAAGGATATGAAAAAGAAGAAAATGAAATCGAGGCTAAATAAAGTGTGACTAAGAATAAAAGAATAAAGGAATAAAAGAATAAAGGAATAAAAGAATAACAAGAATATGAATGAAAGTGAGTGAAGATGCAGATGGTAAAAGAAAAGAAAAAAATGGAATAATATTAAAAAAAAAGTGGACAAAAATATTTACGATGAAAAAAATCGCTTTTTAAGGAAGAAAATTATTTCTTAGAAAATGAAAAGAAGATTTGCCGAAATTATATAAAAAATAAAAAGAATTATATCAAATGAAATAAATTTTCAAAAATAAAAAAGATAAGATATAAATGATTGATTTAAAATGAAAACAGATGCAATACACGAAAAGATTTGTTAGGAAAGCAAAAACGTGGATGTTCCGGATACTACTACAGGTTAACCTAAAATTACTGAAAACCAACATTTTTGCATGTAAATGACGAGCTAATAATGAAAGATTTTTTTGTTGATAATAAAAGCAATATTTTTCAAAAAATTACAATTTTTGGAAACATTAGAAACAAAAAAAAGAGTATTGAATTGTTATGTAATATCAGCTCTCCTTTATGACAATAAATGTTGAAAAATCTCACCACAGTTAAAGACAGGTGAAGGAATAGAAATGTGGTTCTACAGGAGGATGCTGAGAATACCATAGACTTAAAATATGAGCAACGCCGAAGTTTCAAAGAAAATTGTGAAAAAAGACCCTTGCTTTAAAATCAGGAAGAGGCAGTTGAATTTTCGAGGTTCCATAATTAGGAAAGAGGGCTTGGAAAGATTTATACACACAGGGCAGTCTGAAGGAAAGAGGACAAAGGGAAAACAACCCTTAACCTGTTTTGTGAGATTGAGTAATTGCTTTAGGAGAGAAAAAAAAACGATAAAATTTATTAAAAACTAAGAAAGATCGGAAATAGTGGAGCGCCATGATCGTCAACGCCCTGAAGGAACACGGTACACAAGATCAAGAAAAGTTACAGACATGCATACACACAGTCACATACACACAGTCACATACACACACACACACATATATACATGCACACTCACCCACATATATGTATATATATTAAGAAATATACATATTATCTTACATAATTGCACAACTTGAAGATTCATACGTTCTGCATTCTTCAGGTGCAATTTTTGGTGGGTTGACACCGCTTCTTTAGTAATTTTGTTTATCACGAGATATTTTATTGTACGGTGGATTATTATTGTTGAAATATTCAAATGAATTGTAGTTTCATTTTGGATTTGAATTTAGGCCAAGATTAGCATTTAAGGTTGAAAATAAGGTTGGAAATGAGAATTTTAAAAGACTCTGTTGGAATCAAAAAGAAATGAATAAGAAAAATCAAGGGGGATAACTATTTTTTTCTATCCATAAATAAATTAATAATATTATTAATATTAATATTAATAAACTAAATAAGAATAGTGGTTCCAATAATAAAAAAAAATATGCCATGATAAAATAAAATTAAAGTATTAATAAAAATAATCCACATCAATGAAAGTAAAATAATATTAGCTAAGATAAAATAAAATAGAAACAGATAAATATGTAAATAAATAGAGCAAATAATTAAAGCAGTTAAAGAAATAAGTAAAACTAATAAATTCAAATAAAAATAAAAAATAAATAAGATAGTAAACACGTTACAAATAGTAAGACTAAATGTAGGAGAATAAGATAAAAAGACAAAACAATAATAATAAAAAAATGACAGAGATATGATAATGGAAATAATGAATTAGCAAAAAATGTTAAATGCGTTACAGTCTAATATTAACAATAGTTGTATAGTAAATGTTGCAAAAATTAAAAATATTAATAAATAGTATCAATACTAGTATATGTGGTCCCTGGGTTCGGTTAAACTATACTGGGTCAACGTTTTTGTGTAGAAAATTGGATCTATGTAGGCAGGTGCTCATTGACTCACTTCTTTTGTTTAAGAGATTAGGATTGTTTATATTTTTCAGGATTAATAATTTCTCAGAAAGACATAGATTATTTCTGTTGCATTTCCCGCTGAAGGATTTAGCTTTCGTTACTGGTTCTCCTGGTGATAATTGGGGTTTTATTCTCGCTTTTCAGTTTTTAGAAAAATTTAGGCAGGGCAGTACTGTTACTATATTTGATATTGCCTAATGTCATTTGGCGGTGGTAGAGGCGCCATTTCACGTGGTTTTCCGTAGAGCTTATATAAAACTTGGCCTCGTTCTCATATTTGATTTCAACTTTATAAACTAACGATTTAGACATACATTTGTTGTTTAATGGACAGGAGTTTTTGTTGCGGGGATGATGTTGTTTTGAACGTTGTTGACGTATCTGTTTAGAATGGAACAGCTGTTCTGTGCTACCAATGTTTGCAGCACAAATGTAGCTAACTTTGACGTTGTCCTTTTTTGAAAATCTGGTTCAGCGTTGAGAAATGACTGAAGTGCTTATGGGTTAAATTAAAAAAAATCTGATATTAGTTTTGACATTTTTTTAAGGGAGGGTTAGACCATATAATATTACGTTTGCGACGTTTTGGTTTGTTGGGGTCATTATCGTTATTGTCTGAGAATTCGAGGTTCATTTTATGGTTACTATGTTCTAGAGAATCTACGTATTTGCCTTTATGTTTGTCAAAAACGTCCTTATTGCTAGAGTTGGTTGACAGCCTATATTGGACCGACATGTAAATTATTCCGTATTCTAGGATGGTGGTTGGATTGTTTGCTAATGTATTTATGGTTGTATGAATCTTTAGTATATGGTTTGGGAAGCGCATTAAATAGGTCAAATATTACATTCAGGAAATTGATTACTTTAGCATTGGTGGTAATGGTAATGCTCAGACCGTGGTCATTGAAGAACTTGATTAGTTTTTTTCGTAGACAGTCATCTTTTTGTGCGCTTAATTTGCATAGTAGTATAATCCCATCGTTCCTATACAGGCCGGTGTTTTTAATTTCAAAGATGAACCTAAGACTCCAAAGTATGCAGACTAGATCGCAAGCTTTTGCTGAATCAAACGTGCCCATGGCAGTATTAAAGTCAGGATTGCTACAGTTGGTCCACTGGACCTTCATGGATTAGAATGGCTTTCAGGGTCTGTTTAATGATGTTAATGTCCTGTTTGCTTATGGGGCAGTAAATGTTGGCCAGTTTTATCGCATCCATTAGCAACGTCTCCGTGGTGGATGGGTAGAAATTGCAATTATCGAATTGGAGGAAAGAGCATTCGCTTTTCTTATCAATTTTATTGAACCAATCAATGGCGTCAGCAGCATTATGCCACTTGTGTATTCGAAGGCTTTTTCGAGAATATTCTTACTTGTATTATCTATGTTATTCTTAGATGGGTTGATTATCCGGTATTGGGAGTTGTGTGGTAAGATATCCGTGTGGTCTTTCACCGTAAGGAATGCCTGTTGACAGCGCAATTTATAGACCCTCTCGTCGATTTTTGGCTGTCTTTCTGGCTTCACTATTGCTGTAGAGTAGTTTTCACAGTGGAGGATTGTATTTCACTAAGTCGGTCCTAAATTAGGTTCGACGTACAAAACTTTAGGAACTTGAAAATAGCAGTTAATGACGCAGCAATCTAGTTTTGGTGGTTGATACTTCAATGTCCGACATCGACTGACTCACTGAGCTCACTGAGCCCTGGCGACTGCTACTACTACTACTTATTATCTGTGGGAGAGTCTATTAACAATAGAATAGGTATGTTCCGGTATAACAACTATTGATGAAAAATTCCCAGAGCTGGGGTGCTTCTTTGGAATTCTAATTGACCCCGACCACCCTATTAATGGCCTCGTGATATATCTCGATGTAGATCTGGTTGCCTGTTTTATCAGAATTGATGATAATCTTATCTGATTGCTTGTTGGTAGCAAAGTCTTTATACATTTTTTTAAGGTTATTAGTGGAGTTGGTAAATTTGATCTTATCAATAACGGCTTTCTCGAAGCCCAGGAATTGATCACCGCAGAGTGGTGTTTTCTTTTGTGATTTAAATCAATTTAAGCGATCATATTTGCGCTTGGTGAAGAGTATCTTCCACTTCATCCTCTTAATAAAACTATATTTCGTGTAGAAGAGTCAGGCCGTAATCTTTATATATATATATATATATATATATATATATATATATATATATATGAGGAAATATAGTCGTAAGATGTGCTATATTTATGGGATAAAGTGCTCAATATAGATAGAGCGTGTGTAAACATAAAAGTCAATACTTAGAGGCGACAGTCTGTTTCATGCTAGATGCAATGTTCAGGCCTGACGATTGCATCTAGCATGAAGCAGATTGTCGCCCTAAGTGTGGACTTCAATGTTCACTTTAATATATATATATATATATATATATATATATATATATATATATATATTATAATTATTTAAAAAATATGATTGCTTCGTTATTTTTAAAGAATAATTATAATTTAAACACTACTTCTGAATGTAGCACTGTTTTTTTTTAAAAAATGAAAACAAAAATACTAAAGAACCCCGGATTATTTACCCATTTTTTACATATCTGCACACACACACACACACACACACACACACACACACACACACACACACATATATATATATATATATATATATATATATATTAATGTACATTTGGGCAGAAATCTTTCATTTAAACAGGTTTCATTAAATATTGTAGACAAGGAAGATTTAAGGAATTTTTTTATTAGTTTTTCCGGTATCCTTTTTTTTCCGTTTTGCAGGAGCAAAGGAGTACAGAGATTTTCCATAATTTTCATTATCACAAGCATTTCCGGCCACTTTACATTTTCAGGACCGAAGGCTCGGAATAAACGCTTCTATTAAAAAATAAAAGCACAAATAAGATACATCTTAGAAAGTCAATAGCCTGTAGTTGATTACTCATATTCTCGCTATGAAAAGTTAGCAATAAAGAGATTGAGGCTTTCGAATATCGCGCCGCCTGTAAATCCTCAGGGGGGCGATAGTTTCAAAATGTCGCCACTGTGAGATATTATTAATCAGTGGGGTGGTAATCCGACACTGGCTAGAAAAACTAAATAAAAAAAAAATTAAAAAAACTCCTTGTATGCCATATTTAATGATATATATATATATATATATATATATATATATATATATATATATATATATTATAATTTTATCATATAGACAAAAAACAGATTACTCACTAGAAAGATGCAACTTCGTTTCGGTGCATTTCAGTTGCACCTCGACAGGTAAGAACCAAAAACGAAGCCTTTCTTGGATTAATACTATGAACAGTAGAATTTATATATTACTTTTTAATTCTTATTGCCTTGGGTATATATATATATATATATATATATATATATATATATATATATATATATATATATATATATATATATGTATGTATATATATATATATATATATATATATATATATATATTCCTACACGCAAGCCGCTAGTCGCTCTCTGGCGGCCCGCCTATGTCAACGCCGGCAGCGGACCACCAGTGATAAACGCTAGTAGCACGCCACCTTATATATATATATATATATATATATATATATATATATATATCCTTTTCACTTTAATTTCTACTTGTACCACTTACCGTTCATTCATCACTTCATCTTTTCCTTATCTCCTCGTTCTTTTGACAATTCTTTCTTTCTTTATATTATGGATGCTTCGGGAGGACTGAAGATCACACAGATATTACACTCCAATCGGAGATAGAATATCACAACAATTGTACATAAAATATTGTGCTGTACTAAGCGTAGCTTAGATGTGTCATAAGGCCGAAAGTTTGGTGCTCTCAGGTAGGATTGAACTCACTCATAATTGATCTAGCAAAGCAAGTTTGGTAATTCTGAAGAAACGTCAAGTGCACAAGTAATTTACAAAGCGAAGTTTTGTTGTCACAAAAGCCTAATGTAAAGAACACCTCATGCGGATCGAACTCGGTACTCAGTTTTAAATGACTTAGCGAGCCATATTTGTTATTACACTACGTTGAAGTAGCCAAACGACTTTCTAAGCGAACCTTCGATATAGCACAAGGCCGAAAGTGCGGAACCCTTATTGATCGAACTCGCTACTCAGTCGGAATTTATCAACTGAGACAAGCTTGTTAACCGTTACATCTCGTCGAAGTTCTATTTTACGCAGAACGATAGAAAAGCCTGATGGAAACAGAATACATTGTCGGAGTTAGCTCCTCCTTAGTTCCTTAATCCTTCACCAGGGGTATCTCTCCCCTTGCTATAAATACTGGGTGACTTTTTGCCTTGACCTCTCTTCTCCCCTCAGGCCTTGGGCCGTATACCACCTCGCGTGGAAGTGAGGTAATTCTTTTCTCTTCATTTCAGTTAATACCAATATGTGAGCCCTCACCAATACAGCGTTTCCCAAATTCTGGGAACACCCTAAGAACAATACCAATACACATATGTACGAACACTCACCACAATACACACACATAATATTCACCACACAAACTCAATGTAACTGTCCATGTGCCTGTAATTTGTTAATACATATATTTGTTTGTATATAATTATCGGTCTTGTTTGTTTTCTTTGTTTTCTTTGGACTTAATTAAAGTCCAACATTCTCATGTAACTGGACCGGCTAGCAGGAAATTTTAACCCACGTGTGTTTTGTACATCTTCACCGAACTGTCCTCTACAACAGGACTATATCAAGGAACACACCGGGCGAAATATTATGATTGAAACAACGAAATGAAGATATATGCTTGAAGATATTACGAAATAATGAAAATATTTTGTCTGAAACGTTCAGTCAGTGAGAAGGAAGAGAAGAGTGGAGAGACAATAAAAAGGAAAGAAATAATAAATTATGAATAGCGAAGAAAGAGGTAAAAGAAAATATAACCGAAGAGGAAGAGGAAGAGAGAAAGAAAGAAAGAAAGAAAGAAAGAAAGGTGAAAATGGCTATTAATTATGAGACGAGAGAGGAGTCAATACTGAATAAGATTGATTTGTTTTGTTTTACCTCAGAAGGTTATTTAATGCCGACAAGATTTAGCGGACACAATCTTAACAACATTAGGTATGCAGATAACACAGTGTTGATGGTTTGGTTTGGTTTATTTTATTTTACGGCATATTAACCCCAGTGGGTTATTTAATGCCAACAATATTTGGCTGACACGATCTTAACAATATTAGGTATGCAGATAACACAGTGTTCATGGTTTGGTTTGGTTTATTGTATTTTACGGCATATTAACCCCAGTGGGTCATTTAATGCCAACAATATTTGGCTGACACGATCTTAACAATATTAGGTATGCAGATAACACAGTGTTCATGGTTTGGTTTGGTTTATTGTATTTTACGGCATATTAACCCCAGTGGGTCATTTAATGCCAACAATATTTGGCTGACACGATCTTAACAACATTAGGTATGCAGATAACACAGTGTTCATGGTTTGGTTTGGTTTATTTTATTTTACGACAGAAGGTTATTTAATGCCGACAAGATTTAGCGGACACAATCTTAACAACATTAGGTATGCAGATAACACAGTGTTGATGGTTTGGTTTGGTTTATTTTATTTTACGGCATATTAACTGATGGGGTCATTTAATGCCAACAATATTTGGCTGACACGATCTTAACAACATTAGGTATGCAGATAACACAGTGTTCATGGTTTGGTTTGGTTTATTGTATTTTAAGGTTATTTAATGCCGACAAGATTTAGCGGACACAATCTTAACAACATTAGGTATGCAGATAACACAGTGTTGATGGTTTGGTTTGGTTTATTTTATTTTACGGCATATTAACCCCAGTGGGTCATTTAATGCCAACAATATTTGGCTGACACGATCTTAACAACATTAGGTATGCAGATAACACAGTGTTCATGGTTTGGTTTGGTTTATTTTATTTTACGACAGAAGGTTATTTAATGCCGACAAGATTTAGCGGACACAATCTTAACAACATTAGGTATGCAGATAACACAGTGTTGATGGTTTGGTTTGGTTTATTTTATTTTACGGCATATTAACCCTTATTTGGCTGACACGATCTTAACAACATTAGGTATGCAGATAACACGGTGTTGATGGTTTGGTTTGGTTTATTTTATTTTACGACAGAAGGTTATTTAATGCCGACAAGATTTAGCGGACACAATCTTGACAACATTAGGTATGCAGATAACACGGTGTTGATGGTTTGGTTTGGTTTATTTTATTTTACGACAGAAGGTTATTTAATGCCGACAATATTTAGTGGACACAATCTTGACAACATTAGGTATGCCGAAAACACAGTGTTCAAGTTTGGTTTGGTTTATTTTGTTTTACGACATGTTAACCTCAGTTGGTTATTTAAGGCCAACAAGATCTTTATTGGTGATAATATTTTTTTCCTTCAAAAATGTATTGCAGGTAATATGTTTTTCCCTAAAAATGTATTCTGGTAATAATGTATTGCTGGTAATATTTATTCATAAGATAGATTTCTGGTAAATTTTTTTTAATTAAAAAAATATATTGCTCGTAATAATGTATTGCTGGTAATAATTTTTCCTCAAAAAATTAATTGCTGGTATAAAAACCCTTTTTTATGCCTACATAGTGCTTTGTTCCCAGTTTCGGGGGTCAGCAATTGGCCCATATTTGAGAGCCTAACAGGTGCTACCTCCCCAGAACAAGGTGAACCTGGGAACACCAGCAATCAAGAGGTGGTTCCACGTTCCTCAAAACCTCCTGATCAGAGGCTTTGCTGTTGGGCGTAGTTTATCGTCTTGCCCAGAACGCCGGATGTAATTTGTCGTCTTACCCAGACACGGGCGGGTTTTGGGGGTAAATATTTGCCCAAAGCTAGAACCTTAACAGGTGCTGCCACTCCGGGTCAGGGTGGACCTGGGAACACGAGAAATTAAGAAATGATACCACGATCCCGAAAACCTCCTGATCAGAGGCCTTGCTGTCGGATGCAGTTTATCGTCTTACCCAGGACGCGGATGCAGTTTATCGTCTTATCCAGGACGCGGATGCAGTTTATCGTCATACCCAAGACGGAGTGAATAAGAAGGAATAGAAGAAAGAGGTAGAAATGAAAAGCTGGTTGAGGGGTGAGGCGAAATGAAAAAATGAGGAAAAGAGTAATAAATAAGTAGAAGAGAGAGAGAGAGAGAGAGAGAGAGAGAGAGAGAGAGAGAGAGGGCAGAGAAGTGAAAGAAAGAAATAAAATAAAAGAAAGTGACGAAGTAAGAGTAAGAAGAGAAATAAAGAAAGGAGTGAGAATGAGAATAGGAAAACGAAAGAAAAGAAGAATTCTTCTTTTGTTTCGTTTTCCTGTTCTTATTCTTATTAGAAGAAGAAGAAGAAGAAGAAGAAGAAGAAGAAGAAGAAGAAGAAGAAGAAAATGGAAGAATAAGAGAAAGAAAAGAGAAATAGAGAAGAAAAAAGAAGAAAATTTGAGTTAGGAGGAGGAGAGAATGAGAGACGAAGAAGGAACAGGGTGAGTAGAAGAAAGCGAATAAAAGATGAAAAACATAAAGAAAAGAATTAATAAGAGATAAAAAATACGAAGAAAAGAATGAGAGGAGAAAAAAAGTAATATAATATTGTAGGAAAGATTGAAGAAAGAAGAAAGGATATAGAATGAATAAATAGAAGAAAGGAGGAAAGAATAAAAAACGAGAATGAGGGGATAGGAAAGAAGAGAAAGAAAGCGAAGAGAAGAATTAGGTGAAAGAAAGAAAGAGTAGAATATTGTTATGTTGACGAGAGAGGATTTTGTTGTTTGTTCTTCACGTGTGAGTTCGAATCTTTGTCGCCACTTGTTATGGTCCAGGTCCTTGTACCACGGTGACGGTCCAAGGTAGAACCAATAAAGAAGAACTCGAACACGGATATGGAATAACACAGATATATTACAAACAGGAATATATACAGACAAGTAGAAAGTGTTAGTACAAACAATCAGGTTTAGTAGGGAGAACAATGTAGTCTCGACCAGTATCACTATCCCAATGTCTTGTAGTAATTGTCTGAACGCGACTCTGTTTCGGACTGCCACTGATTCGACTGACTGACTCGCTCGCTCTGACGGACTGACAGACTCCTGCCGGACTTCTCTCCAGACTTCAGACTGAATGGTATTTAGGCACCCTCCCACGAGGGTATCATGTGGCCGGTTTAACGTGGGATCTCTGAGCCCGTGGGCTCTGCTAAAAATATGCCCTTTGAAGCCGTATAAACGGGTTCAAGGTCGGTTTACCTCCCCGAAAGAGACTCTGCCCTTCAGCGTAGCCTCGTTCGGGTTCCTTCCCGCCGGTAGGCAGAGAGTTCAACCGATCAGCTGGTCAGCCGGTCGCCTGATTTCAGACTGAACTCCCTGCTTCCTCTTGAGGCTCAGTATTTATTACGTATGGAATAGTCCATTATGTTATTATGGGTAAGGTCCCATAACAAATATTAAAAAAAAAAAAAAACGAGTGGAGAAGAAAGAACACGAAAAATATAAGAAAATGAATTGATTGGAAAGAGATAAATGAACGCAAAGAGAAGAAGAAGAAGGAAGTGAGAAAATAATATGAGAATGAGTGAAGAAGAATAGGAAGAAGAGATGTAGAAGGAGAGAAAAATATAAGACAATAAAGAGAAAAGAAAATAATTAATTCAAAGAGGAGGAGGAAGAAGAAGAGTATTATATGAGAATGAGTGAAAACGAAAACAAAGGAAAGAACACAAAGAAACGAAAGAGAAGAATGAAAGAAACGTATGTAGATGAATAGCAATAAAAATGTAGGAACGTAGACAGAAAGAAAAAAAAATAAGAAAGAAATAGAAATTAAAGAAAAAGAAGGAAAAAAAAAAATTTGATGAAAGTGAAAAGAGAAAATAAAAGGTGGAAGAATGATTCAAGAAAAAGATGTCGAGTAAAAAAAAAAATATGTTAATTTGCCAGAAAATATATCGAAAAATTTTGTATTCCATGTCGCCTGAGATAAAAAAGAAGATTGCGCAGGTGTTTGCTTTTTCGTTGAATACTTTCAAAAATGGGAGTAATTCCAGTTTCAATATTGAATGCACTGAAGTGTTTGGATTCATTGATCTCTGCTTGAATAAGCATTATCGCTCAGAAATAATTTCTGTAAACTGGTTCCTCTCGACAAATTCGGAAATCGTAGTCAGTCTGAGATAGTTCCAACTACGCCCGTGAAAGCTAACTTAGACGACAGAATCAACTTTCATAAAGAAAATACAGAGGCTTTGTGGCGAGGCAAAGAAACCTGAACATACCGATGATAATAAAAAGTGAAAGTGAAAGTGAAAGTGAAAGTGAAAGTGTAGGAAATTCAGTCGTTCACATTTTTTTTTACATTAAAAATCCCAACGTCCAAATTGCAAACAATAATAAAATAAAAAAGAAGAAAACATTGGTATGTCTATTAAATAAATCTGTTGTATTTACAAACATATATACATGAACTGAAAAAAGCTAAAATGTATTAAAAATAGACTTTACTTGAGTTAAAATCTTTTGGTAGTTGGTGCAGAGAAAAAAAAACTTTTATCGTTAGCGAAGATTCACTGACCGTCATTGTCGTTGGTGTTGGAGAGTATTCATTTGGTGTCACCGACTGGCCATCGATAAGGTCGTTGAAGATGATTGGTTTGAAGTGGCCGACATAAGTTTCTTTCAGCACGCGCTGGTAGAGGAAGGGAGTCAGTCGCATCTCTGCTTCTAAAAAGACGAAATCTTTTCCCAGAAAATAGCCCCGAGAAAAATAAAATTTTAGTTTTCTCTGACTGGCGAAATATTTCACACAGTGATGTTAATATTTAACCAATAGACGTTTTGACTTAAACGGTGTGTGTTGTATTTTTGGATCTATTTTTCAAGTTTGTCGTATTGTCTGTTGTCGGGTAGAAAATAAAGTTTGGGCGTTTTAATATGGTATGTATGTTTATATATAATTGTGTTGAAAATTGGGTTTATTTCCCATAAAAGCAATGATTATACTTTTGAATATATATATATATATATATATATATATATATATATATATATATATGAAGAAATATAGTCTTAAGGTGTGCTATCTTTATGAGATGAAGTGCTAAATATCAGAGATGTAGCGTGTGTAAATATAAAAGTGAACATAGAAGTCAACACTTAGGGCGACAGGCTGTTTTTCATGCTAGACGCAATCGTCAGGCCTGACGATTGCGTCTAGCATGAAACAGACTGTCGCCCTAAGTGTTGACTTCTATGTTCATATATATATATATATATATATATATATATATATATATATATATATATATATAGCCAAGTATAGGTTTGTGTATACGGAATAAATTCAATAACAAAACATATTATTCTTAAAAGACTACTCAATACAGAATAGAGCAAATCTAATTTATTAAAAATTATGACATAAACATGTTATAAAATTACAAAGTAATTATTTTTGTAGTGATTTTATAACATGTATATGCTATATTTTTCGAATAAATTATATATATATATAT